TTTCTTCCATATAGCAATTGCATTTTTTCGGGAGAAAGGAGACAGAAACCGGAGACTAGAATTTTGTTGAAGGTAGTTGCAGGTTGACTGCTTGCTAATAAACAGGTGTTATATTTACGACGAAAGATGCACACACCGTAAGTCATCAGAGTTAATGAAATACGAAGCCACGAACATTATTCACAGCAAATGGCATGGACAAATTTGTTCCACGTCGGCCTTAGACGACACGCATTGCTTTAGTCCCTCGGCGAGATCGTCCATACGTTTGTTTCATCCACAGGTTTATGCCTGATTCATCAATGTACATGGATTCACTGTTTGCTCATGATGCATGAACCACGTTGATACATGGTGCAAATCCTTGATGCTGTCGGAATTTTTTTAAAGCAAGTGTGCCTTCTATCTAACTTTTTCATGGTGACCAGGAGCCCGCCAAGAATTGTGCAGATGTCCGGCTTACGCGGCAGGCCTGTGAAAGCCAGACTCTAAATGTTGGGGTTTTACGCCCGATCAACACAATATAGATTATTTAGAGGCTGGCTTCCAACTATGCCAATAATAAAGTCAACAATATCTTAGACAACAGGTTCTCCTGTCGTCTGGCACTCAACATTGTCTCTTATGACCAAAAGGCAAGTTTATTTACAAAATCGTTCTCTTTTGCCCTTTCAGCAATATCGCAAGCAGTTGTACGATTTACTCCTAGAAAACACGCAATTTGCAAGTCGTCCTCACTTTATAGATATTATGAAGTGTAAATTTAGGTTTTGTTTGTCTTAGCGATCTTGGAGTAATCTGCTGTCACCTTTCCTTCCTTCACACATAAAATAACTCACATTTTCATTGATGTCATATTTGAGCGTGTAAAGGCACATTAGAAAAATAAACTGTGTTCTAATTGAAGTTGTTATGTACACATTTCATCTAGACAGTGAAAGATTTTATTAGTTAGTGTTTGATCGCTTAATCAGCTGTTGCACTGCATGCTTCCCGGGAAGCTCAGAATGTTTCTGAGTGGTCTATGGTCTTGTGGGGGTAATAGTATAGTGTAAAGCGCCTGGAGACTGTTGTAGAGCGGGGTAATGCGCTATATAAATGCTATTCATTACTATAATTTATCTTACAGGGTATTTTATAGTACTAAAAAGAATACGTATCACATTTGATCTTACAATGTCCCAAAACTCCACCAATGAAGATTTGCTCTGGCTATATTCACATTTGAAAAGGGAATACTATGCTCTTTTACATTATTTTAAAAAGAGGTACAGGACTAGATCCATCCGTTTTATTTGTTTTGAAAGCCAAATGTCAGGAAAAATCAAGTTTTTCCCTCTCCCGGACCATTAGCTTTTTGTGGAGTTCACAGTTTCATCAGGCGACCGACCGTAATTTACATTTTATGTATTTATACATAATGTTTATACCATTCTTTGCAAAGTTGCCAAAAATTCCCCACGGGGACAATGCAATATAGTCATGTCTAATTTTAGTAGGTTGTGACAACGTGAGCGAACACAAATGTATATTACTGTATATTATATAAAATATGAGAAAGGGG